TCATCCTCCTCATCCTCATGTGACATTTTCAATTCTTTCTTCGTGTCTTTTCTTCTCTCTGTGCTCTGAAATGTACTTTACTGATAATGTCATGTTAGTAGCTGCATAACAGTGGATAAAAATTTGCTGATTTTCTTTGAGAAGTTTTGTTAATGAGTTATTCTTTAATTTTCATACAATACATACAATTACTGTCTGGTTACAAACTTCTCAAAATTCTCTAGAAATAAAGCAAAAAATCATGGCAAACCACAGTAAGAGTTCTGGCAATTAATGATATTGACATTTAAACAGTTTGAACTTCTCTTCTTCCTTTCACTTGAACACGTAGGGTTATGTCATGATTTTAATTGTATGCAAAAGAAATGATATTAGATCCTACCGGCTTATTATTTGTGTTTTTTAAAGAATGTTTGTGAATCCTAAACAAATATGCTTCGTAATTCTATGAGAAAATGTTGTTTGCAAGGAGAAGGTAACCGGAAAGTTTGATAGTTTTTTTTTTTTCTGTTTCATTTAAATAGTTGTTGTTTTTCCCACCTTGTGTTTGTTTGTGTTTTTTAATAATGCCTAAGTGTCCCACGCTCACTTTGGTTAATTAATGGCTTACTAATGATGTGCTGGATTGAAGTGTTGTGTTTGCCTAAGGTGTGACTTCTCCCATTTACACTTCAGTCAGACCACACAGTGTTTACTCTCAATCCGTACCTCTCTCTGTGTTTGTGTGGGTGTGTGTATGTCATAGTGGGGGGCTGTGTGCAACAGGACTCTGGTGAACTACCCAAACAGATGCTGATTAGTGTGAGCTGCTTAAAGCAGGAACGAGCATATGGATTGGGCTCATTAAGTTGACAGTACTTAACAAAAATACTGCCTTTTTGGAGAGGAAACAAAGTAGCAGGAAATTCGGATAAGAAGGCTACTCTTGTACCATTTTTATGTGTTAACAGTCAGAGATTCTTTACTATTTTAACATGTTTGTATGTTTGCTTACATTCAGATATTAGCATAAGATATATAAACATCTGCACAAAAATGATATGAATAAAAGTTTGACTCAGTTAAGCCTGTTTCAAAAACAAGCTTTCCTTCCAAAGTATTAAACAAATTCGCCAACTTTATGCTGTTTTCGGCTATGCGTGAATTCTAAGTGGTGATGGCCGTATTCTTAACATCTCTGGGCTTTAAGAAATAAAATCCACAGCTCAAAACGATAGTCGGTGGGATGCAGCATCTGGTCCAAAGTTGCATACCATTTATTTTTTAAAAATAATTCCAGACAAACTTGTACCAATTCTGTTGCGCTGTATATGGTATTGCTAAGCTTTGTTTACACTTAAAATGCCGCTAAATACTCCAGATAAAGAAGACATTTTAGATCATGGTGCTTTTTACAAATTGTCTTTGCAGAATAAATAAAATATATGTTTCTAAAGCCGGGTTTTGTGTAATGCGTTTATCTTTTTGGTACATTTTTCCTGTGCTTTTGAAAAAGTACTGTAGCAGCTTCAAATATAAACACGTACAGCTCTAGTTCAGGCTTGCACCAAATCAGAGTCCTGCAAGATATCCGGAAATGTGGCTTTAACTGAGCCTGCAGGGCAGGCAGACTTCAACCCCCCTCATTGCATCACCTCTCTTAACAAAAAGCATGGAGATGGTTAAAAGGGTATTTTAGTACCAATGCACAAAGCAACAATACATTTGAAATAGGATTATTTTTGTTAGTGCATTAACATTAGATCATTTTACTTGCAAACTGAATTTACTCAACTAGTAAACCACACCACTAGTTGGCAGTATATTTTTGAAACTCTTCAACATCCCCATATTTACCAACACTCCCTGCTTAAAAATGCCTCATTAATGAGTCATACTGCACATACATGTGCAGGTGCTCCCCCCCTACGGCAGATTGTTTTTACTGTGTAAAAATGAGCCAGGAAGGTTTTTGAATACTTCCACTCTGGAACTTGTTTTCGAATCTAACCCTGTTTTTTTTTTTATGAAGCGCTATTTATTCCTTGAAAATATATTCATATGTTGTAATTTCTTCAGTTTCTAAGAATTTATTTGCTTATTTGAGTTGCATATATTTAATAGTTTAACAGTAATTATACGTTTTCTTGTATCCAAGTTGTTTGTAGTGCATGGGACAACCCGAGGTGTTCACTATGGTTTCTTTTTCACCAGTTCTGCTCTCTGGTGCATCTGTACTCCAGATTTAGCGTAGTTCTGTTGCCCCTCTTTCTCAGTCCCTTTCTTCCCTGAACACATATCTTCTTCTGTGACTCCTTTTTCAATTCTCCTTGGTTCTCCTTCTACCCTCCCTCTCCTTACCTTTTTCCCCCTTTTTTTTTTTTTACTTCTCTCTCTCTAGATCCCTTGCTCTCTCCCAGTGAAAGGCTGAGAATACCCAAGGGAGCTGATGCAATTAAAATGCTAATCCTGTCTGTCTACAGAGAGAGGGAAAGGGGGGGCTGACAGCATGAGGGATTGCGGCTCACATGGAGAACTCGACTGAAATGGAGAACAGGGGGTGGGGGTGGGGGGCACAGGGGGAGGTGTGTGTGTGTGTGCTTGTGTAGTAGGGCTGCGTTGAAAGGGAGAAGGGGGAGGGGATGTGTGTTGGGGGAGACGGAGTGAAAAAGGGGATGCTAGCGAGGTAAAAGACAGACAAGGATAAAGCTTGTGCTCTGAGCTGAGCAATGATATACTGACAGCGTTTAAGCCTTATCTATGCCTATGTAGGGAAAGCATTGCAGTTAATGTACAGCACTACCACTGTTGGCAGAGTTGTTCACCTTTACCTGCACCACTTTTTTTGTATTATTATTTTGTGTGTTGTATCTGCATGGCACAATATTTCTACTTTGGCTGTGCAGAAATGAGAATGATTATGTATGCAGAGAGAGCCCAGCTGGATACCCTGAATATTTCATAGTATGTGTTGCTCGCTTAGTCTTCCAATGCCACACCGCCCAGCTAGGCTTGTAACATATGCATAATGGTTATTTCTAAAAGCTATGGATGTTGGCTGTTGCCTGTCCTGTTGTATCAGAAAATATTAACATGTTGGTGCTTTCAGCTCTTCGGTTTTAGGGACAAAAACATTATTAGAAATATTTAGTTCTAATGATATTTTCAGCTTGTGGAAATAGTCATTTTGCTTTTTGGTGACAGTGGAGTTTTTTACGTAAATCTCATGGGTTTGATTTGGGCTCTATTTTTACTCATCTCAACAGCTGCTGTGATATCACTAGGCCACTAGATTGTTCATGAGTGCAATTCTGGGTAATCACGGCTTAATTGGAGTAATTAGGGGAATGTTGGGGCATTAGGCTACAGCTGGGGGCCATAATGAGTCACAGTAAAAAGGAGGTGGGGGGGGTTGAGGTGAGAAGCTCCAAGAGCAGCAGTTGCCCTCTTGTCGGTGGGTCATTGTATTTCTCAGTGGATTGGCAGTAAAATTAAAAATATAAACTACTTGACAAACCTCGTCAGTTTTCTTCAAACTTCAACCACAACAAAGTTTTAAGTAGACGAGTATTATTGGTCTTTGACAGTCAAATTTAAAAGGCTGTTGGTTTTCTATCTAAAGAGTGCAGAGATCATTTGTGTTTTTTTTAAAAAGGGGGAGAGAGAGCAAAAAGGAGGGAAAGAGATGGGCGAATCAGGGTCATTAGTTCAGGCAACTTGGTCTGCTGCATTCCTAAGCCCTGAGATGGGGGAGCAACACAGCACAGCAGGAATGTGCCTTTGGTGGAGAAGAAACATAAGGTAGAGAGAAAGGCAAGCAGAAACAATAAAAAAACAGGAGGAAAGAGGCTAAGGTGAGCCTGGTACCATGCTGGAAAAGACTTACTAAAATAACTTGGAGAAAAAAGAAAATGTTGCACTAAAACCCACTGTTCCTATGGGCCCTCCTTGATCGCTTCACGTGACATATGATTTTAAATAACTTTGAAGAAATGCAACCATTAAACTCTACAATGCAGCAGACATTTTGAAAGAGATACTAATTTCACTCTAAAGTGAACTCATAAGTTTAGAAATCACTGAGAAGTGACAAATGTGAATAACCTTAAAGGGGAAGTTTGCCTTATACAACAACCATTGTAGCTGGATTATTCATGGCCGTTATTTTAATCCATACTGTTTGGATCTGTCTTGCTCTGGTTCTCGCTTAGTCTCCTGAATCTAGTGTCCTGTTAAAGGAAATAAAGTCTGTGAACACATGTTGAACCTGTATTTATCCTATAAAACAAAATATGTTACAAACATTATTTTGTATTTATGCCAGTTGGACCAAAATATTGAAAAAGAAAAATTACTAAACTCGTGAATACTTTAAACAGCCAACGTACAATTTTTTAAAAGGGATCCAAACATATAATCAAGGATCCTTTATAATTTTCCATGTTCTAATTCTCTAAACTTTTGTTTTAAGGTGAGGGACTTGAGCTGTGTTAGAAGCTTCTTTTACTTTCTGAAGTTGAATGATAGAAAAGCAATAGAGGCGAAGGGAAATTTAGTGAAGTGTAAAAGGCTGCAGGTCCTGAGAAAGGGTTGTCTGAAGTTAAAACCTGAGTAACAGAGTGGTGTCTAGAAGGGTGAGTGTGTATGTGTCTGTAAATGTATGTGTGTGAGAGAGAGAGATGAGAGCGAGGCTGTATGCTGACAGAGGTCCTGGTATAATACAGTGGTGGAGAGCAGCAACTGATAACTATACTTATGGCCACTGGGGCTCATAGTGACAGCACATGCACCTCTATTACTGGCCTCATGCCTCATGCCCTTATCTCTGGCAGCCTGCCACGGAGAGACCATACTGCCCTCTGCTGTTCATTTAGAAGAAATTCACCTTAAACAGAAAATGGACTTGGATGATGAGTTTTGCTGTTTTTTCTTAATGATGAAGCTTTAGTAGATACACTGTTAAGAGTATTTCCTTAGATTTATAGCTGACTTGTTTGTCCTTTCTTCTTTTTTTCCACCAGTCCTGAGTATACGAGGTGTGCAGGAAGAAGACCCTCCAGACCCCCAAATTATGAGGTTGGACAACATGTTGCTTGCAGAGGGAGTATCAGGCCCAGAGAAAGGCGGAGGATCGGCTGCAGCAGCCGCAGCTGCAGCCGCAGCAGGGGGCTCACCTACCGACAGCAGCATTGAACACTCCGACTACAGAGCCAAACTTGCCCAAATCCGTCAGATATATCATTCAGAGCTGGAGAAATATGAACAGGTTTGTTCTGATCAAAATTAAATGTTGACATTGGACTTATCTTAATCCTCATTTGGTAAATACTGAACAAAATAAAGATATTAATAGGAAAGAAATAAGTTTTATAATGGGAAACAAAAAAAATCTTAGATACTTTTCTATCACATGGATGGTTATTATTTTTCAGGAATCTTAACTACTGCAATTTCTGTTGTTTATAGCTATTACTAGAGGTATTGCTTGGTGATATGGAAAAAAAATCATATATGACATGTAGGGCTGGGTACCGAACTTCTGTACTTTTATGGTACCGACCGAAATGCTTCGGTTCTACAGAGTATCGAAACATGCCTCGTCTTTCGGTACCAAGTTTCGGTGATTGGCTCTAACACTTAACGTGATTGCGTCATCCAGGAAAAATACACAGGTGGTCACGCCTACAGCCAGGGTTCATGTGAACTGGTTGTGAGCGTCGCGGAACCCCTTTAAAATGCCCCCCAGGTCAAAAGTGCGGCTTCACTTTATTAAGACTGATGCCAATAGTGCGCAATGCAATACATCGTGCACGGAAATAATTTAAGAGCAGAAAGTTGCTCTGTGTTTGACTGCAAGAAGAGCGGACCGCAGCCGGCGCGACCATCCTCCTCTCAGCAGCCCGTGGGCAGAGCAAAGCCAGAGCGGAGTGAATAATGCGAGACACTCTTGGAGAATGCTGCTTTCAAACTGGACGCAGCAAGAGCAGCAAAATCACGTCTGCTGCTTCTTTTTTGCTGCTTGTACCAGCTTCTGACGCGCGGCTGAAGAAGCTTTGCTGCTCTGGCTGCGCGGTGCAAAAGTGGCTTTGACGCGCGTTGGGCGGAGCTACTCTATCCTTTATTTACCTTGCAGCTATATTTGCTGTGATCAGTGGGAATAAAGTAGTTTTAATATGTTTTTAAGTGGGAAAGTCCACCTGAAAACTTAATCAGTGCAGTCAGTTCATCCTGCCTTCCAATATTTCTGTGGGAGCCGCTCGGACCCCCACATACCAGCGGTGCGCTGTCAGTAGGATCCCATTCAATGGGCTTGTTTGTCAGACATGGTAATTTTTCTAAAGGAAAACTGCAAAGTAAAAAGGTCCTCACAATGTAACAGTGAATATTAGACACTGAATTTTTTTTTTTATGTAAGAGGAAAAATGTAAATGGAAAAACAGAGCTTAAAATAAAACTCAAGATTTGTACTTTTTTATGTTGTGTAATTTTCTTTTTTTTTCTCGAATTGATATTATAAAACTGGTATCGAAAAAACTATCGTTCAGGAACCGGTATCGAAGTGAAGGTATCAGTATTGGTACCGGAACCGAAAATTTTTGAACAATACCCAGCCCTAATGACATGACATGTCCATGATATGGACTATTTTATATCACAATAACTTTATATATTGAGATATGCCCCAATTAAGTACTTTTTCAGCTGATCTCTGAAAAATATGACACAACAATATAATTGCTTACTTTTTTTTTTTACTTTATTTTGAAATGACATTTAAAGAACTCTCACAAATGAGCAAAATAAAGTGTATTGCTGCGATATCTATGCATCAGATGCCAAAAGATGAGGCGGTGGTGGCGCTACCGTAGCCTTCACATTCTTTTTCAAAATACTATATGTATTTAAATGGAATTACCAAAATGAATAAATTAAAGTGAGACTGAAGTGCTTATGACTGGGTATACAGTACCTCGGGTCAAGGACTTTAATAAGTTCTTGGAAGCTCGTCTTTACACATGTAATGTGCGATGGCAACTGTAATTTTTTTACGGCGCTGAGAAGTTTTCTCATACGTGGTGCATCGGGCTAACGACTCCATTATCCTCGACAGGCTATAGATTTTATTTTTGCAACTTCCTCCCACTATTTCACAACTTGCTCAACCTCGCACTTTTGAACCTCGTGGTTCTTCTTTAGGTGAGGGAACAGTCTTGTAGCATAGTTTGCAAATTACCTTTTTCTGCTCTGTGTCCGACTTCTTGACTCCTAAATGTAACCAAATCAGACGTACCCCTCTTTTTGGTAAAAGTCCTTCATCTTGGTCTGCCTGCATAGCTGTTTCTGTTTGTTGCATCCATTGGTTTAAAACTTCAGCCTCCTGCGTCTGCATCTATCATCTCTCATGAGTTAAGTAATGTAAAGGATGTTACAAACCTGTAGCTTAGTCAGAAGCCATAAAGCTTCGGCCTGTTACAAAAACGCAAGCCAGCACTTCTTTGTGGACAAAAAAAAGTATATTTGCTTGAATACAAAATAAAATGGTGTTAGAAAGGATAGAATAGATTTAGCACTATAGAGACTTTTCTGTACGATATGTATCATCTTATTGCCCAGCCCTAACTAGAGGCATCGTTGAAATAATCAGAAGCAGGAGTTGGCCACTGTGGTTTGATTGGCTCAGATCGCTGCTTTAGTAAAAAAGAGAAAAATAACTGCTTCCTTTGCATTAATAGCATCCATATTGTCTCTGTTTTATATACAAATCAATCTTCAGTGTTTTCCTCAAGATAGAAAAAATAAATTCCCTTTCTAAGCCCAGTTAAAGATTTAAAACAACAGATATTATTGTTACTTCTTTTTTTTTTTAAGCCCTTGGTGGCCTTTATTTTGTCATTTAGGAAAGTATGGAGACAGGTAAGTGGGTTAGAAGGTCACATTCAGCAAAGATCAGCAGGACCGGGACCCGAAACTACGATGGTCATGCGTTCTACCTCCATGCCATAGCAGCACCCAATATTATTGCTGCCGAAATGTTACTAGAAACTTACTAATGAAATGAAGCCATCTGATGAGTGCAACTCTAATCAGCAAATCAGCACTGTTTAGCAACACATGGTACCACATATATCCCATCTTTTAACAGCAGCACTTAACTCCTGTCTTTTTTTTCCCCAGGCCTGCAGCGAGTTCACCAACCATGTAATGAACCTGCTGAGGGAGCAGTCTCGCACACGGCCCATCTCTCCCAAGGAGATTGAACGCATGGTGGCCATAATCCACCGTAAATTTAGCTCCATTCAGATGCAGCTCAAACAGAGCACCTGTGAGGCGGTTATGATTTTACGCTCACGCTTCCTCGATGCCAGGTCTGTCTTTGTGTGTTGGCAATACTTTTACTGTATTCATATGCAAAGATACTTTGTCAATGAATCAATGCACTGCAAATACCTACTCCAGCCTGTTCATTACATCTTTTGTGCGTTTCAGACGTAAGAGGCGCAACTTCAACAAGCAAGCAACAGAAGTGCTGAACGAGTATTTCTACTCCCACTTGTCTAACCCCTACCCTAGTGAGGAAGCAAAGGAGGAACTGGCCAAAAAGTGTGGGATCACTGTATCTCAGGTGAATGGCTTGGTTAGCTAATGTTCAAAATGTTAAAGGGAAAGAAAATAGTTCTTAAGAAGCTAAAACTATTAGCTTCATTATTGCCATATTCAGTTAAATATGCTATTTGTCCTCAACCTCAGAGGGATGCTGAGGCTTAATAAATGTTTATTCAGTATTAAATCCATCTTTTCTTCAGGTGTCTAATTGGTTTGGCAACAAGAGAATACGCTATAAGAAGAACATCGGTAAGTTCCAAGAAGAAGCGAACCTGTACGCAGTTAAAACGGCGGTGGATGCTGCAAATGTGTCAGCGCAAGCCAGTCAGGCCAACTCTCCAGCAACACCCAACTCAGGTATTGACCTAATCTCTACTAATTTCTAGATGTGCTTATAAATGACCCATTGAGACTTTTCTAGCTTTTTAACTTTTGTTTAAAGCTGACCTGAAGTTTGCTTTCGTTTTCAACCGTTTTGTGTCTCTGATGAAATACCCAAGTCCTGACATTTTGCTTCAATTTCTGTTTACACCATTTCCAACTAGTAATGTATCTCGCTCAGTTGGTGGATCTTTACAGGGATTAATGTAATTTAATGTTCTAGCTGTTTTTTTATGTTCAGCATACTTCTGTTCAGGTTGAGTTGTAAAGATGGACATGGTTTCCATGGAGGATCAGGGTATTTATCACAGATGTTTTGGTAATAGTTTTTCCAACATGAGTCACAACAAGACTTCCTTTCTGATGGAACTGATTAAAATCTAGTAAAATCTGATTACAGCACTTGCTGCAAACTGAACAGGAATGTTTTGGCGGCATGCTTTAACCCTCAAACCCTCTCAATGTGAAAAGTCTCACAATATCTCCTCTTGCAACATCCAGTAAACAAACCATTGTGGTAAGGTGGTGGTTTACTGACCTTATCTGACCAATGAACCAGATAAGCTCCTCCAATTCAAAATGTTTACAACATCTTTACAACTACACCGCTATGGTCAAATGCATTTGGTATTTTTCCACAAGCAGTCTCATAGGACTTTGCTAAATTTACAGTAATGGTATTTGTACACCACCTTTTAAGCTGTGCTGACTATTTATTTCATAGATGGATCCGGGCTTCTCCAAAATGTATACTGTGTTGTCTTTTCACTAACTTGGCAGCATTATTAGTCACCTAAGCTTCAACTTAGTGGTTATGTCTTAAGGTGTTGCCTGAACATTTCCACATGGTCCCTTCCTCATGATGGCATCTGGTTTTTGGATTGCACCAACAACTCACGCAGAGAAAAAAGAGCTGCACAACCAGTAATCCCCTCCCCTCTGCCTGCATAGAAATGGTCCTTAAAACCAAGCACATAAATATTTAGTTTATTCAAACTACATAGCATGTCCCTAAAAAGTAAGCACTTTGTTCATGTACTATTTTGAAATGGAAATCTGGTTTATTATATCGCTTTTAGTAATGAGTTTCTTCAGACTGACCATTCAGGACTTATTCTACTCTATTATTAGGTCAGCAAAAATCCGAAACTTCCTCTATGCTACCTTAGCAGGGCATGCCCATACAATCTATACCTGCATATGATTGTCAAACAGCCAGTCAGGACACAGTCAGGAATCTGAAAATTACAGCCAAGCATGAACCAGATATGCTGATTTCCTTTTCTTCATGATATCTTGTCTTATCTGTTTTTATCTTTCAATGAAAATCTCTGGCAGTTAGGACATTTAAAATAAATAAATAAATAATTTTTTTCTTTTTGTAGTCCAAGTTGACCAAAAACAGGAAACATGCATATGGTGTGTTAATCAATCCGGTTTCAAGTGTGCATGGATGAATAGTGCAGGTCAAGCCAGCTACACATGCGCATATATTTCCTTAAGGGTCACCAGGGTCAAAAAGCTTTTCTCGTGCAGGTGATACCTACCTTGGCCAACGCTCCCTCAATGGTGAGGGTCTCAACTTTACCCCCTCTCTACATCTGCAGGTATGAAAAGTGGACGACTGCAGAGTGAATAGAATTGATCCCCGTGGTGTAAACCGTCCATAGAGCATCCTTGTAATTTTTCCTTGTAGCGTAACTCCCCTTTTGGACATTTTGTCAGATCCTGTCCTGACTTTATTACCACCTGTTCCTGCCCCCCCCATAGTGCAAACTGACCATTCTTTCTGTTGAGAGCATTGGAATATTGGACAGTTGGATTTTTTTATTTTTTTTTATCTTGCATTTGATTTGAATTTATGTCAAAAGCTATCAAAGGCTATCAGAGTTCTTAACCGCGTCAGACATGGAGCTCAAACCAATAATCTCTTTGATCAATGGTCAGTTTCTTTGCCTTTTGGTTGTCCTCTATTTCCAACGGTATCAAACATTTCTGTCCATGCGAGTCCTCGTGTTCCTGTGCAGATCCAAACATTGTGTATTACCCCCTTATCTGTGTAGTAAGGGTTAAAATGTTTCTGTAATTGGTGATTATTTATTGCAAGTTGGAGTGTTTTTTGCTGTGTTGAAAATCCACAGATTTCTGCTGTAATGCTTTTATACAGGCTGGAGAATCAAAGACTACTAGTTTGTAGTAGTTCACTATAGGTCTGTGATCATGTCTCGAGGCTGATCAGAGGGGTAATTTTGATGGGTCAACTTAAACAAACCCTTAATAGGACCTTCCATAAAGGAACGGTAGAAAATTGCTGGTTGAAAGTATGATCCAAAGGGGGCGTGGGTAATGTAGACTGCTATTTCTGCATTCTGCAGAAGTTTGTGGATGACGTCTGCATTTTGTTGAAATTACAGAATAAAATGTCAGTCATTAAAATGTTAGTTTATTTATAAATTGTTTGTGTTTGACAGGTGGATACCCTGCACCGTGCTACACACCTGACGGGCGGCTATGAGGAGTTGTCAAGTAGTGGCCTCTTTACCCCTCATCGCCTGGATGTTAGTACTTAAAGTTTCTGTCCTGGTCTAATTAGTCTTATAGCTGCTGTTATGCAGCTGAAATTTATTTTAATAAGATTTTGACAAGATTTATGTTTTCTTACAGTTGTTTTTGTTGACATTGGAAACAAATAGCTTAAAGTCATCCTCTTGTAGGCGTTGCAATATTAATTTAGGTCCTAAATTTCTATGATAGTCTTACATTTTTATTTCTGATGCCAACCCTGCATAAATATTATAGCTGCATTTAGAGCTGAAACAATTAATCGGAGAAATCAATTATTGAAATAATCAACTAATGTAGCGATCAATTTATCATTAACTGGAGTATAGAGACTCTAAAAATGCATTTAGCTGACATAGCAGCAATTATACTAAAATTGTAATTGAAAAAAGCATTTTGCATTTAAGTTAAAAAAAAACTTTTTTGTCTGTTCATATGCTCTATCCAGAACTGCTCAAGTGGAAAAAGTTTCAGTTTCACCTGGTTTAATTCTGTAAAAAAATCTTCTTAAAGAAACCTTTGGCTAACTTATTAATCGATTAAGCGAAAAGATAATCGATTTTCAAAATGATTGTTAGTTGCTGCCCTAAGTGCATGTCGGTGAAAACAGAAAAAGAAAATAATAGCAATTAGATGCTGAAATAATAATCATCACTCTTCCTTTCTGTTCTGCCTCTCTCCCTGTCGGATTGCAGGCTAACAGCTGGCAGGACACCACCAACCCGCCCTTGGTAACCTCCCCTCCTGGTCCACCTGGCAGCGTCCACTCCGACACCTCCAACTGATGTGGCGGCTTTCTCTGCTGCCTTCTCATTCCTACTGTGGTCTGAATTTTAAAAAAAAAAACCATTACCTCCTGTTCACGGGCCACATAAATTTGTATACACATTTCATTCACACACGTTGTTCTGGACCACAGGACAGCTGTACAGCAGTTGGGAGGAAATTCTCCTTTCACCTTCATTCCAATTCTCTACTCTTTAAAAGTTAAAAGAGGAATGGAGCTCAGAGACATTAAGAAAACATCCTTATTGTCAAGGACTTTGAGAAACACATCCAGCTGTGTAGATTATCATGATGTCTGTACATTATGTGTATATGCACGTTAACTTTACACAGTACTCCCACAGCTTGTTCATGTGCTGTTTTAACCTTTACACTCAACTCTTTGCTTTGGGAAACTGTGTGTAATTGCCCGTATCTGCTGAAGCCTTGGCATTTGACAGCCAAACTGTGGTTACGGACCACCAGGGAGCTCTGCTCACCTTGCTTGTACCAAAGTGCTGCCCCAGTGTTCCTCTGAGATTACCCTCTGCCTAATTAACACAATACACTGTTGCATCAGTGTGTCCTTCCGTTAGGATTTTAAAAAGAGCAACCGATGTTCGCACAAATGTGCGAGCAGTTATCCCCAAAAGTAACAGCTATTTTTCATTGTGAGCTGACGAAAAAAGATGTGTCAAGCACAAATGTTAGCATCCTTGTTATGGATTTCTATCTTTCGAGGAAGATGGCAAAGGGGATCACTGCTCAAAAACAGGCAGGATAAAAGACGGTAGGGCTGGTGTGAAGAGAAAAGGTCAGAGAAGGGAAAATCTCTTTGGTTGAGCGTATGTAACCGATAGCTCTTTCCATTGCTAATCAATAGGGGGTGTTGGTAGAAGGCTTGTAGACTTTTCTTCTTTCTTTCTGTCCACTAGTTTGATTGTAGTTTTATTATCTAATGCTGTTTCACCAAGAATGCACCAGCCGCCACCAAAAACGAGCTCAATATGACATCTTTATGACAAAAAGGGTGGAAAGATCGTGAGGCATCGATGTATTACTGGAACAAATGTGACATGAACTTTAGAAATGTGACTGTCTTCCATGCATGTAGGACTTCTATGTGTTATACTGTTTTCTTTTCCTTTTTTAGTTTCATTTGTATTAACAAAAAAAGTTAAATAAGAGGTAAAAAAACTATTACAGTCAGACCAAAACCAAAAAAAAAAAAAAAGTGCATCACATGTTGATGTCTGTGTGGACGTAAAAGGTTCCTGGGATATCCCAGCCAATGGGCTGCTGCTCCTTTGAACTTTAGCATTATGTAGACTGGGTGCTTCCACCTGCTAATGACACACAAGACGGGGGTTCAACTTAGATTTTCATCCCCGTCTTGAAACATTTAAGCTTGTGAGCCTGAGGCAACATGTTTAACAACCTATTGTTGTACCAAAACCAAATATACAAAGTTCAGAAATGTAATAATGTTTTTTTTGTTGTTTTTTTTTTTTTATATTTGTGCGCAGTCGCCTTTTACACCTGAGGAGGGAATTCTGTTTGTACGTGTGTCTTCTTGGTGTCGTTGTGCCTCAAGTTGGTTTCTCTTTTGGACGCTTTTTTGTTTTTTCAATGGGGCTTCATAAACGATGGATGGAGCGAACTCCGTAATAACACCTGTATTTTTGTTATGAGCATGAAAGCAAGTGCTCTGCCCTGTCTCTTTGTCTCATGGCCAATTGGGCAAGGGCTTTTCTCTCTCCTCTGTTACCAAAAAAAGAGGCAGCACTGGGTGTAGTGAAACTCTTTATCTAGGACAAGCCTGCATCATTTTGGTGATTTTCCATTCTCAAAACCGTTTTATACAATAAAACCTCTGTGAATAATGAAGCATTTTGATAGTAAGGGAAAGCCTTAAGAGTGTTGAAACATGTTACAGAACAAAACCTGAGCTTTAAAAGCGCTCAGGTTTGATCCCATATTTCCTGTTTTTCCTGTTACTCACAGCAGCTTGTTGTGGCTGCGTCCTGAGTAAAGGCGCCGCCGCACCAAATTATCACACACCCCTCCTTTTTGTTTTCTACTTGTTGTAATGGATGTCACTGTACAGTTTGTGTAATGTTTCACTACATTTTCTTTTTTTCTTTTATAAACTTTGTTCGGTTGATATCTACCGTTTCACAGGCTTCATGATAACTCTGTATTGACTTTGAATAATCTTTAGTTTTTTTTGTTACATAACCAAGTTGCAGTGTAGGATGAACAAATGTAATGTGGTGCTGTGGGACTATTGTTTTTTTCTCCTGTTTGGACCTTAAACATCCCTTTTTAATTAATCGGATTATAATTTTCCCCTTTGTTGCCTCAGTGATGATTTGTCACTGTGGACCGTTATTACAGCAGGAACATCAATGCCTAAATACTTGATGTCAATATATAAACGTTGTGCACTCATGCATTTTGCAGCAGAGATTTAACCTCTAAAAATTATATTGTGGTAAACTAACATTTTAAAACATTTGGTTTAGTTCCACAGCACCAAATGTCTTTGTAAACCTTCATTTGTTTTTATTAGTATATTTGTATCTCCCTCTTTCCGTTGTATTTACCCCTCTCTCTACCTGTCTTTCCATTTCTCTTGTATATAACCCCACTGTTTTCAGACCTGTGAGTCTGTATGAACTCCTTTTATACCTCAACTTTAGAATTGATCTAGAAAGAGTAAAAACAAAAACGGAAGAATATGACAAAATTGTAGTATTCTTATTAGAAAAATTAATAAAACAATTTAGTGTGCTTTTTTTTTTTCTTCAGTATTTCATTTTAGAAGTGTTTAATTTTCTAAGTTGTCACAAATGCTCTTGTGATAGTCTAATGTAATAAAAGGAGAGATTGCACCATCTGTTGATTAAGGGGAATTTCTTAGCTCCACCAAGAAACATTCAGACAGGAAAACTTGTCTATTGCAAAAATATGTATTTTTCTGTTTAATTTCAAAAATATACATTCGAGTTACAACTGCTGGCTTTTTCCTCCATTATACCCCAGGCGCCGTCCACATGTTATCTCTTTGTATCCTCTGGTTCCAACAACACTTGATCTTCTAACATGTACGTATGAAGAGTTGTAAGAGTTTTCTGTGAACAAAACAAAGTTGTTTGAGTCATTTCCTTTGCAAGAAAGCCATGAGATTTTTCAAAACAATAAGGTGGAAAACAAATACTTAAAATGGAGTTAGTTTTCCTGTTAACGGCCCTTGCATAAGCCGACAGGTATGAACACGCTTATTTTTGGAAATCTGTTCTTAGTAGGAAATGAAACCTTACGGCTCAGTAATCAGATGCATGACGAAGAAATGAAAAAACTGAACAGCAGCTATTGAAGCAAAAGTTCTAACCCAGAGGCGTTTAGACTTTATAGGACCTTGAGGGCTGCTGTCCTGCAGGTTTTAGAGGTTTCTCTGCTCAAGCACAGCTGATCTACATTGATGGTTGATTAACAGGCTTTTGCTGAACTGCAGTCATCAGAATCAGCTCTGCTAAAGCAGAGAAACCTCTAAAACCTGCAGGACAGTGCCCCCCCCCCCCCCCCCCCCCCCAGGACTGACTTTGGGGATCGCTGCTCTATAGGTTGCTTTAAAAAAAAAGGCAAAACAAGTAATATTTACCTCTGTCAATTGAGATCCAGTATCTGTTGGCAAAGACTCCCTCTGCTGACAGTCTCCTTTCCGACACAAGCAGGAAAGGATCCATTTAAAAGTTTTTCTCATCTCAACGTCCCGCAAGGAATAAATGATTGGGTTGACCAAAGAATTGCACTCTGCTATCACCAAACAGTACTTCTCATACTTCTTAGCGTTGCTATTTTTACCCATCAGCCCATCCACGAGGAGAGTAATGAGGCCAGGTGTCCAGCAGATCACAAAAGCACCTGCAGAGATATGGATTGTTTGCTGAAACATGAATTCATTCTTGTGGTTTTTCCAGTGAACTTTTATTGCAGAATGAGCCCGGATTATAGTCATGTCTCAGCTATGTAATGGTTGCTCAATAGCAGCCACCTGAGTCACCCGAGTAGCTGAACTCATAAGATAAATTCACTGGAAAAATCCGGATACATTTCCAACTTTAAACCAACAAACAAAGATAGAAAAAAAGACAGATGGAGATAAAGGCACTGAGATTTGTGATTAAATAACAAGGTATGCATATAGTTTGAAAAAAAAAGTGTTTGTGCTTAAAATGGTCAACATGAAACATTCCTAAAAGTAGTATCTGTTCTTACCCAGAACCATAGAAATGGTTTTCATCAGGTTGATGACGGTCTGCTGTCGTTCCTCCATGGTGTGAGGGGACACATTCCTACTCTGACACTTCACATAGAAGAATATGCGGGAGTACATGATCACCATAATGAAAAAAGTCAGTAGGTTGAGACCTGCCCAGAAAATCAAGAAGCGTCTGCTGTAGAGTGGGGCGATGGTAGAGCAGTCGTCGTGATCGCATTCACAGTTCCAGAACAGCGATGGCACCAGACCCATGATGATTCCAGCAACCCAGATGGAGACGATGAGCAGCAGCACACGTCTCTTAGACATGGTGCTGTGCAGCTGCATGGTGATGATGGTCTGGTGGCGTTCAAAGGCTACAGCCAGAAGGTTGGCTACAGAGGATGTCAAGCTGATGTCAACCAAAGCGGAACGGATGTACCACTGGGTCTTAGAAAGCCTCCGAGTCCAGGGGCCAGTGTTCAGAATGAGGTTAGCGTAGGCCAAACCTGCAAACAGGTCCGCTGCTGCCATGTTGCCCAGCAAGTAATATATGGGGAGGTGGAAGCGGTGGTTTAAGACGATGGCCACCATCACCAACAGGTTGGCCAGCACCACTATCAAAGAAAATGGCAAACCTAGTCCGAGTAATAAGGAGTCCCGTGTAGTCCAGTTTTCTCTGATCTCCTTTTCTACTAGTTTGTAGAAGAAGGTCACATTATGGCTGGAATTGCATTGAGATGACATGTTGTTCTCTATGAACAAAACTGTGAAGGACAAAAAAAAAAAAAAAAAAAACAGTA